GGTTAAGAGAAGAATAAGGTTAGGGTTGGGTAGATCTGTGGCTCTTTCCTAGGGCATTAGTGCCTAAAGTTTAACTGTGACCGATTATCCACTACTGTAGCAACCAAACAGATCGCTTTTTCCAATGACTTGCAAGAGCTAATCAGAATTAAGGAGCAATGAAAGTATCGGCTATGTAGAGATTTTTTTGTTTGATTGAATGGAGGATTTCATCATGAGCTGACATCAATTAGAAAACCGCTGGAAAACCTGGGAGTACTGGACAGCTAGCTTTTTCGTCCTAGTTTGGAAATCCTCAACAGTACGCACCTGCCACTACAGGGGTTCGAACCCAGGACCTTCTGGTTACCAGGCGAGTGAGCTCGTAGACCATTGAGCCACTGGGACCCGATCCAATGGTCCTTGAGTTCTAACTTCTGCCAATTCACAACACAGCGCGACCATTTCGCAATGTCTGCGTACTGTTGAAGAGTCCCAAACTAGGACGAAATAGCTGTCCAGTACTCTCAGTTTTTCTAGTGGTCCTCTAACTTGGTGTCAGCTCATGGTGAAATCCTCCACTCAATCAAGCAATGTGTCGAAATTATTAAGAGAATCACTATAACAATAATAATAATAATAATGAGCAACCTTTGTACTATAAAAAGGAATGCTTACTGGATATATGTATGACAGAAATGATTCATATAGAGAATGTCTCTAACATGCTGTAAAATGAGGGCAACATTAGAGTATAGACACTGACTACAGACGACCTTGAAACGGCCAATCAGATTCTTTCAGTCAAAAAGTGGAATAAATTAAGGTGTATTTATAATATATATAAACTAAAAAAAATGAATTATACAGGAGAAATGTCTCTAATATGCTACAAAAACTGGCCTCAGTTTCGCATTAGAGTTGTTATGGACACATTAAACCAATGTCGATACAAAAACTCATCTAAATAGTTATATTTCAATTCATGGATAATCCCCATCAGGGCATTAATGGGGAAAACAAAACACGTAGATCAGCGAAGAGACTCTTCTCGGCGAATTCATTTTCGTAGCTGTACAATCGCAAATATATATATATATATATATATATATATATATATATGAGTTATTTTGTATGCGTGTGTACATTAAGTTTGTCAAACAAAATTACAATTGGTTATTATAACTAAACAGGTGACTCTGTAGATTACTTTGAAGGAGGCATCAAGAACAACCTATCAAAGGCAATACGGTTTCGTCTTCTTTGTATTGCTGAAGCTCTGGTCATCCACATAGAAAAACCAGAGCTGTGTATACAAAAGAGAATTATTCAACCACTTCTACTGTCATGGTAACAACCTTTTTTGTTTTGATTTCATTTGAGTTTTTTTTCTTTTGATTTTGATGACTTCATTTTGTTTCTTTACCTGTTCTTTAATTGCTTAGAATTCTTGTATTCATTCAGAACTCTTACGTAGTTTCGCATTATCTACTTTGTTTCTCTGTGCATCCTGAGTAAAACTCATCAAACTATTCATATTATTACGTAACTTCTTTCAACAACTGTTTGTGACAACTCATTACCTTTGTTACTAGCCTAATTTCATTAACACCTAATTTTCTTGACTGATTTTGTATTACGTAACTCCAATTACCAATCTTCACTTGTTTAGTTATAATAACCAATTGTAATTTTGTTTGACAAACAATGTACACACACATACAAAATAATTCATATATTTCAGGATTTCATCATGAGCTGACATTAGTTAGAGAACCATTGGAAAACCTGGGAGTACTGGACAGCTGTTTCGTCCTAGTTTGGGACTCTTCAGCAGTACGCACCCACCGGGATTCGAACCCAGGACCAACACTTGAATAATTCATATATGTATATATATATATATATTTGCGATTGTACAGCTACGAAAATGAATTCGCCGAGAAGAGTCTCTTCGCTGATCTACGTGTTTTGTTTTCAGTAAATGATTATATACCATATCATTTCGGGAACCGTTTACCGTTCTGATACGACATTTTTGAGATGAGCCCAGAATCCTTCAATGGAATTTTTTGTGTTCCCGTTACAAGATCCATTAATTCAGAAGAATGGTTGACTTTGTGGTGATCATTGAGAATAACCTCTCCATTCATCTGTGTGAATAGTAGTTCCTGGGAGGATTAGTAGTTGTATAATTGGTATTAAGATATCAGAACTTCTGTTTGGGATGCAGTCTACAAACGCTTTACAAAGATTTGTGTCGTAGAGTCCCACCTCACAAACATGATTCACTCTACTCCTGCCACGATTCATTTTTCGCTTAATAAGTACCGTTTCCTCAATATGCACAACGATGTCAACTCCACCAAGTACAGAGCAGAGGGGATCCCATTTAGCTTTTGTGACGCCACATCACGGCAGTACTGATACCACTGAACTGTTGAAATCTGCGTTTCTGCAGCTGTAGCAGATATTGGTCGCGTCAGTCAGTAGCCAGTTGTGGTATATACGCAATATTCTACTAATAGGGACAGTTTCGATTTGGAGAAGAAAGTATCTAAAATATCAACATAATGTACGGCTTACCAACTCACACAGACTTCCTCACTTAACGGTGGTTGCATCTAAATGCGCAGCCGTCAATAGCTCGGCTATAATTTTGTAGTGTGTGCAGGTTTTACACCACCCTATCAACCCATTTTCCACACAGTAGAAGTCAAAAACCAAATCTGGGTGAAACTTGCAACGAAGATCATAAACACCATCCAATTATGAATAGTGAACGATCTGACTGGTCGGTTCAAGGTCGTTTGACTTTGGTGTTTATGGTTTACTCTTGCCAAAATGAGGTCTCAGTTTTCCATGGAAATACATGCTGCCCATAATTATCGTAGCAAGTTTTATCCTAACCGTAACCGTAACCTTACCTTAAGTCTAGCGTAACCCTGAATCATTGAAACTTGCAACAAAGATTTAAATCGAATAAATGAAGTTCAGAATAGCACGCTACTTACATTTGTAGAAGAAGATAATTGTTTATCTTTCCTAGACATATCGCTCAGTCGACGGCTTAGTGGATCAATAAAACGATCTATTTATAGAAAACCTACATGGACAGGACAGTATCTTAATTATCACAGTTTCTGCTATGTTCGATATAAGAGAGCCTCTTCAGTAGAGTCCAATGAATATGCACTGAAGACACATTTGACGTGGAAGAAAGAAAGTTGACACAAACTCTGGTTGAAAACAATTATCCAGACAAGTTCATTAGGAGATATAAAGTAATCACAACACCATAGCCGCTCCCCAACTCGCCCCTAAGAAAGATGTGTACATCAAGCTACCCTATATGGGACATCATAGCAACTTGATAACTAGAAAAAGATTGAACGCTGCTGTTAAAAGGAATCTTTATGCAGCTAATATAATAATAATTTAGAATGTGAAGCCAATTTATCTATCTAAACCCTTTGGACATGAGAAATATGACGTCACATTTACCAATTTGAATATACGTGTGGACACACACATACATAGGAGGGAGGACTGATAAATCTCTGCGAGTAAGGGCTAGTTTCAGAGCATATTCCTAAGTGACTTCAGAAGCAAATAGAATCTCCATAATCCATTCATGCTGAGAAAAGGAGACCTCTGTTGCGAAACATATTATGGAGACAGGACACAAAATTGATGTTTACAAGTCTTTTAAACCTATCTATAAAACGTGTTTGCAGGAGAACGTATCCTAAAGTTTGTGTAAACCTTAGCTAGCAATTAGAAAGTTTAAACCACCTTTATGCGATCAAAGCAACAATTCGTTGACACACTAATAAACCTTTCTGGGTAAACTTTGTTTTGATGCTAGCCAGGGTGGGTGTACTATTACCTCTGTTATTTGGTTTAGTGATCTTCATTGCTGTTATTTTGACCTTAAATATGTCCTTTTAACTTGACCTAAGTAGTCTATTTCCTCACATCGGTAACTCTAAACTCTTTATTAATTTCATGTATATTTTCATGACAAGTTCGAGCGTGACCAGATTGTTTGAAATGTATTGTGAGCGCAAATACATTACACGATTCAGACAAATTACTTCTTGTTATTGCTTTGTCTAAACAAAGATTATGTAAATCATTCATTTGTAATGTTAGGCGACCACATTGGTTGGCTCATGATCGTTCAGCTGTGGTATTTGCTCTTGTCCATGCTGTTCCCAGACCGGTTAGTTTTATGCAATTCTGTTCTCTAGTCATCTACTACAAAACCCAATCCGCCTTGATTTTATTAATTCTTATCAATCTATTATTCACAAAGCAATCAAAAATAAGATCCGGGTTTTCAACTCCAATGTGAAGTCAGTGATACTTGCAACACGGATCAGAGGCTTGGCGCCATACCGCGTCACGAAGGCCACTTCGAACAGACTAAACACCTTCATCAACAGATGTCTTCGCTCAATACTACTCAAGATGAGATGGCCAACCAGAAAAGTTCAGCGACAGGAAGAGATCTCTGGCAATGAACGAACCAACCCAACAGGAACCAATCGTGCAACAAATATGCAGGAAGAAATGGAGGTAGGTGGATTGAAGGTCATACTCTGAGAAACACAAACCATCATCAAGTGAGTGACATCACACGCCAGGCCATCGCTCGAACAGAACCCGAATGGGAAGCGGCGAGTTGGCCGTAAGTGCGAGAGTGACATGGAGTAGAGGAGGTCATCCGAAGAGGAGATGAAAGCATGGGGGCAAACGTGGAGTCAGGTGAAAACGTTTTCAGAGAGCCGATCGCAATGACGATGCGCGGCTGAAGCCCTATGTTCCTCTAGCAATTAAAGGAAACAATAGTAATATAATCAAGCATTCAACTCTCCTAGTTCTCGTTCAAAAAATTCAGTTAGGTAAGGCATCAGTTAATTCGATTGGTTATCAAAAATCATATAATTCCCATGGTCGCCATTATGACACCATTCAAATTTCGAAACACAAAATGAAATATCTCAATACTGACTTACTTCAATGAACCAACCCATAAATCATTATAATGATTCCGTGAAGATTCTGTCAGTGTTATCGACGATGAAGTTTTCTGGAAATAATTGAATGCCTTCCTTTTCGTCATTAGAACTGGAAATAAATCAATAAATTGTTTAGCATATGATCTTGAATTAGTCGATGGTAAAGACAGGCTTCCATAATCTGAATTATCAGTATTGTTAGTATTGCCGCTGTTTAACAAATGTGAGGAAGTATCACAGGATATTGCAGTTAGTGAAGAGTACACAACGACAGCATCATCACCAGGATTATTTATATTTTTATTACATTTATCCATAATATCAGGAGAAGATGAAGAAGAAACTTCTATATCACAAATATTATTTGTACTCAAACTTAAAGGCGTATTTTTTTCTTTGGCTTTAATCACAGTTACATTTATTATTTTGGATTGATGTTGATGTTTTGATGTTGAAAGACAATTAAAACGTTTTATATTATTATTCACTGGTTGTTGACGATGATGCTGATCAAGCATTAAAATGATCACAGATCAATAATATCCATTCAAGATTATCATGTGTAGTGAGTGTGGTGTAAATTAAATTGAATACAACTGTTATTTTTGTTGTGTTCAAAATTCAATTGTTTATTTGTTTGAATGAATGAAATGAAAAGTCACATGATTCATTGAACCACACAGTCATCATCACTATAGTCATAATCATCATTGTACCTATTTAACACAAAATTTTAATGGTTCCTTAAGTCGGTCTGATCAATTTGTCTACAAGAGAAATATCAACCAATCAGATTGTAAGTAAGTAAAATTGACCAATCAAAATTCAGCGACATTTTCACAAAATATACAAATCTTATTGATAGAAATATTATTGCTAGGCTATGTATGGAATATTCTGACATTGTGTGGTGTACACCAGAGTGTGTGTGAGAGAAAGAGTGAAAGTTGAGAGGAATTGAAATGCCAACACTAATGCAAGACCGACCGTAAATGCCACTCAGAATAGGTGCATATGTGACTTTTTTATCTCTTTCTATGGGTATTGGGAAAGCAACTATTCATAGAGGAGAGAGAGGAAAACACATACAACTGCTAACATCACCTAATTGGTATAACCTTTTTCTACTGAAAATTGTGTGTACAGTATAATAACAACAGCTTCAAACCATTAGATTAGTTAATTGGTGGATAGTGACTAGCAGTGGAATCCATCCCCCAGGATAACTCGCATTTCGTCCTAAATATGACCCGTCAGCTACTCGATGTACCTGCATTCCTCAGTCAGTCAGTGAGTGATGGATGATGTTCCCACCACCGAGGCTTGAATCCAGTGGCCATAATTTCAAAAGACTAGACCACTTGGTCCACGAGAGCTGACGAGTCCCAAATAGGATGAAATACACGTTAACCATCCACCAACTAACTAACTTCTAGTTACATGCCCAGACAGCGTTGAAGTATCTGCACAAGAAGCCGATATGTCAACCTGAAACCGAGCACTTCGGTCCAATCAATCGACGGGAAAATTAAAATTTTTTTTTGATTTACAGCTTGATTCCACACAGTATTTTCGGTACAAGTATGGAATTTTCAGCATGGATATCGGTAGCCCAAATTTTGCAGGCCGACCATAGATATCAGGTGTGCGTCGGTGCGGGCTCGAACCTCGGACCATGTGCATGGTCGGCAAGAGTCCTAACCACTGTGCCACTGACGCACATATTGATTAGATAAATGGGGTGCAGACAGTTATCAGATAGATGCATTGAGTGGTGTGGTGACCTTTTAAGCTTCTGTGATAAAGAATACAGACACCAAAGGCGACTATTGGATGCTACTGATTCGTGTTTGTCATAATTGTTGGAATGATCATTCGAGCTCTCTCTCTCTCTCTCTCTCTGAAGCTGAAGAATAACCTTTTGAAACACAAAACGAGCTCATTTTATCTTGCAGAAGATATTCTAATTGAGTTATTCAATTTCCAAGGATTGGTTTTGTAGGAATTTTGTTTGGTTGGTTCGAGGATTTCCGTATGAGCTGACATCGGTTAGAGAACCGCTGGAAATCCAGCACTGGTGTACTGCCAGATAGCTGTTTCGTTTGGGTTTGGGACTCTTCATCAGTATGCACCCACCACAGGGGCTTCGAACCAACGACCTTCTGGTTACGAGGCTAGCGAACTCGTAGACCATTCATCAGATACTGCGACCCAATCCAGTGGCCACTCAGCTCATGAATTCTAACTTCTGCCAATTCACGACATAACGCGACCATTTCTCAATATCTACTTCGATGAGTTACTGCCTCATTTGCAGCCTGCTGTAGCCAACTGGTGACGGCTTCCCACTAGAATCCCAGCTCACTGCCTGAATAGCGTTCTATCACAAGGTGATATCACTTTGAAAAACATTGGAAAACCAGGGAATAGTGGACAGTTGTTTCGTCAGCCTGGTTTAGGCCTCTGCATCCGTACGTACCAAGTGTGGTTCGAACCCAAGACCTTCTAGTTCCAAGGTAAGCTCGTAGACTATTCACCAACTGGATCTCGGTCCGGTCAAGTTAAACTTGAAGCACCATTAACTTCCAATGGAATGAGACCGCAGCAATGACTCCAAAACGCTAGCTGAGCAAGTTAGTTAGTAAAACCTGGCAGATAATGTTGTCACCATCAATTAAATATGCTCATCGAAGTGTTATGCTATCAAAATGGGATACCTGGCAAGTTTCAGCTTAGGTTTGAGAAAGATTAAGTTACACTTTAAGCCGAGGACAAGTTAGAGTTAGGTTAACCTATTAAGGGTAACATTAGGGCTGGTTCGAGTTAGATTAGGGTTAGTTTAGGGATAATTTCTTGTTAGGGTTAGGTTCAAGAAAGATAAGGGTCATTGTTAGGGTTAGAAGACCTAAATAATTACATTCATAGAATGTGGTTTAATTACTCTGTTAATATAAGAGTAGAACTTGTGCACTGTGTTGGTAGAGTATAATTCCATTGTGGGGGAAATTTATTTTGATAAAGTCTCACAGTGGTGTTATACAGTAATATTTACTGATGACCACGTCTCGAGCACAATTTATCTCTCAGTAAATATTACTGCATAACACTGTGAGATTTTATCAGAATAAATCTCACCCACAATGGAATTATACTCTTGATATGTATCCATATAATATGTGTGTTTGTTTAATAGTCTGTTATATTCGCTAGGTATATATGGATCGATATTCCATTATAATTAGCCAATCATGTTAAGACTGTCTATTGATTTGTTCATTTTGAATATTCGCTCACCCACTTGTGTTCACACACTTGTTCGGACATTCATATATATTTTTGCTCTCACACTCTTGTGTGATACATTGCTTCTCCTTGTGTTTTGGAAAATAGAAGTATCATCGCAAACCTAGTGGTCTTCTGATTTCCATCTTTCTTGCGTCAGGACTATTAAGATCTCGACCAGTACATAACAACTCTGTTGATATAGACCAACCTAAAACTGAGAGCTATTTTTATCACATGTGAGAGGAAGGTATCCTCTGTAACACTTTTCTATAGTTTTTATGCAATTTTTTCATAAATATATTTATTCCATACACAAAAATGCCTCCTTCACGTGACTGGTGCGTTCGAGGTCATTCACTGATTGGTGATAGTTAGTGGTGCCTAAAGTTTAACTTTACTCTCGATCCAATGGCCGTTGAATTCTTAATTCTTTCAATTCGCGATGTGTATAGCGCAACCGCCAGTCAACGTCCGATTCACGCAAACCAATAATTGCTAATTAATACTATGCATACTTAAAACTAGCTGTATACAGGAAGTAAACTCAATGAGTTTTGTTCAGAAGTCGTGATCAGTCGGGTCCACCCAGTCAAGTAAGAGCACAGTCACTCGTCAGTGACATTAGATGGCAATTGCGCTATTAGTCTGCTAGAAGTCGTTTTCACTGAGTTATTCAAATTATAGGCTGACATCAGTTAGAGAACCACCGGAAAAGCAGACAGGGAATACTGCCAGACAGCTGTTTCACCAGCCTAGTTTGGGACTCGTCAGCAGTATGCACCCACCGTCGGGGTTCGAAGACAGGACCTTCTGGTTGCAAGGCGAGCTCGTAGACCATTCATCAGTCGCTTTGACCCGATCCAATGGCCAGCCAGCTCATGAATGCTAACTTTTACCAATTCACTAGTGACTGAACCTATTCAGACAGTGACCTGGAATACAAGTGCGAGGCTGTCACAGCTACAGCAAGTTGAAAATGAGGCAGTAACTCATCGTAAAAGACACTACGAAATGGTCGCGCTCTGTCGTAAATTGTGAGAATTAAGAATTCACGGACTGCCTGGCCATTGCATCGGGTCCCTGTAGCTGATGAATTGTCTACGAGTTCGCTAGCCTCGTAAGCAGAAGGTTGTGGGTTTGAACCCCCTTTGGCAAAGTTAAACTTTCGACACCACTAGCAACGAATCAGCAAACGACCTTGAACGGACCAATCACATTAAAGAGGCATATATGATGAATGGAGACGCATATTTATAGAAAAAAGCATAAAGAAGGATAAAACGGTTACAAGGAGTATCTTCTTCGAATATGTGAGAGAAACATCCCCCAGTTTAGCATGTGACTGTCAATGGCGAAGTCACAGTACATCCTGTGCTTATATTCATCTCAACGGCAGTAAATGAGATCCTTTTCAGATCCATTTATAGCCCTTATCTTGTTTTTCAAGCGGCCCCAAAAACCTTCAGTGGAATTCGTATGAGTCCTCGTAACGGGATCCACACAGCAAACAAGTGATTGTCTCTATTTTACACGAAGCAATATCTCTGCAATGCTGGTACCACTAAACTGTTTAGACAAGACTATTCTCAGTCTCGGCAGCTGCTGCTCTCACCGGCTGTTTCAACACCCAGTAATTGCAGATATACAAAATCTGGGTTAGGGAGAGATGTGACCTAGGGGAAAAATTTCCCACGAAATATTAAAATTATCAGCTTACCCTCTCTAATATTAGCATGCTTCAAACATATAGCACAACGATGAACAAACCCACCAGTTGATCTGCTATAGCTTTTTAAAGTCATGATACCAACACAAGAACAAGTTCGCTCCTTCCGGAGCAATTTAAATCCAGGCAATGCTGGAAAACACTAACATCCTCAAATTGCAGTCGTAACCTTGTAAGGTCACGCATTAGAAATGAATCAAGCGCTCTACAACATAGAACTACGTTCGTGAATCTCATTGGATAATTCGACATCGTTCGTAAATCTCATTGGATAATTCGCTGATAGGTAGTTAGCGGTGTTGAAAGTTTAACTTCGCCCCCCCTTTGGTGGGTGCGTACTATTGAAGAGTCCAAAACTAGGCCGACGAAACGGCTGTCCAGTACTCCCAGGTTTTCGAGTGATTCTCTAACTAATGTCAGCTCATGATGAAATCCTTCAACCAATCAAACAAAATACCTACACATAACCAATACTTGAAAACTATTCAAATTAGTCGAAATTCATTCAGTCTATTGTTTGAAAACACGAAGAGATTGTTGAATTTCATTTTCAGGTCAATTTGCATTGAACAGAAATGCTTTGTCTCTGTTTGTGACATGTCAGCTCCTGGAATGGATGCTGAATACTCTCCACTTTCAACAGTATTATTTAAAACCAGATAACTGGTCAATAAATAAACTACAATTAATCATAGCAGAATGAAA